GGGGATGCCGTACAGCTTTTTGTTGTGGCATGAAAAGATGTTAGTGCGGTATTTATACATGTTTATCGGTTGTCAAGATGCTACAGTGGGTTGACTAATCGGCGCTCGGTTACAGAAAGATTCTTAGAATAGCACAGAGTACGAAGAAAAGGATTACTGGCATCGTGAGAGTTCTGAACGGAGGGATAATTGGCTTGTGGACAGCATCTTGTCCCGGAGGCGAAAAGACTTGGACCTTTCAATCTCCTGGGAGGTTTGGAAAAAACAGAAGCGGAGGGCATGGTACCGGGAAATAGGGGCAGGCACAGTCCAACACGAAGATGGGCACAGGACATAAGAAATACAATGAGCAGGAAAGTGTGGGAGATCTGGCGGGTGACTGTTTTTCAGGCTTGCTGTGAAGAAAGCCACGTTCCGTAAAAGACCTGCTACATACTGATTATGTATCGACCCTCACTGAAGCAGAAGAAGGACGCATAGATTAGATGACATTCTGGACAATGTACACATTAAACATGTACACGACTTCAGCTGACCAAATAGACATTCGTAAAGGCCTCTGTGTGAATGTCGACAAGTTTGGAGTCTAATCTCTTCTACCATGGATGTCGATCAATACCCTTGAATGTATTTACTATGGATACTCTAAGGATGCATGGAAAAAAATCACTTCGATCTAACAGGCAGTTTTTAAGAAAATGACTTTGTGTTTATCAATTGTTGAACGAACTATAGCTGCCCAGTACAAATAAGATGGTGAGCACCTGATGCACGATAGTGGTGACTGCACAAATGGTTGTGTGAGAATGCAGCTAGATTTATCCAATCGCAGTTACAGCTACAGATGTGATGTTCGGACCTTTTCATTGACACAATTAGCTGAGAGTCCCAATAGTTGTCTGTCTATCTGTATCTGTTTCGTCTACATGTCTTTGTTAAAACACAGAGAATTAAAAAAAAATTCCATTGCTGTCTTTCTGGTGCTTTCCTATCAACGGTGCCTCATGTCATTTTACCTTCTTTCATTTCCATTTCTACTGTCTTTCTCTAGTTTTCATTTGGCAGTCTTGGTCTCGTTTTCCTATCTTCCATCCACCGGAGAGTTCTTCTTGCCAATTCGTCACATGGCATTCTAAGTCATCTCCATCTTCTTCCTCTCCAGGCATGGTGTCCGCCTCAAGTGCTAGAGGTTCCGGGTTCAGTTCTCGTTAAGGGCTGGGATCTTTTCATGTGGACTTGGACTTCTAGTAATTCTCCCTGGTCTCTGGGTAGTGATATCGGACGCCCGTGTGTATTGTTGCGCACGTAAAAAATCCTTTGGCAGTTGGAATTTGAAAAGAGTAGCTTAACGGTGCTACCCGGGCAAAATTTGGAGCTTAAAAATCTACCCAAAGTATTTCAGGACCCTCGCCGGTGCTACAGAGACTGTGCACTGTGCTGAGGTTCTTCGGACTCAGACTTGAGTTAGAAGAAGAGCGGAGCACTTATGGGTTACTACCTGTGTGCCATAATGTTGATCCGTTATTTAAAACCTCAAACCTGATCTTTTTTCTTTGATAACACTTGTCAGTGAATGAGCATTTTGTTTTTCTCATCATTTCTTCCTTTATGATCTTGTTGAGCAAAAATATTGGTACAGTTATCTTTGATTACTCATTTCCAACAGTCAAAAGAGTAGTGTCCAGCACTCCTTACATCGAGCCTGTTGGTCATATGCTCAAACTGCCATCAGGCCCAGTTACTTAACTGACCTGCTCTCTCCAATGAACTCAACCCTTAAGTGCAGGAACATGTTACATAAAGTCAAGTGGTGCCGGACCAGTATTGAGCACATCTCCATTGACTGTCGCTAGGCCGTGTCTCCAGTTTATAAAACAAAATCCACCAGTGAGGTGGCGTCTCTAGAAAGAGGGTCGGCTTCAATGCAAATCCAACGTTGTCTCTTGCCTTAGTTGTACACTTTCTAAAACTCTCGGCTCCATATTGTCTCCTAAAAATATCCTCCAGTTGTATTGTTTGTCTACCTTTTGCTTTCAGGTCTTTAAATTTTCCACAAGGGATTATTTACAGCAGTGTTATGTCTTTTATTGTGGCCGAAATATTTCCTTAGTCTCTTTCCTATTATTTTAAACAAATTTTGGTTATTTTCTAGTCTTGCCAAAACTCCACATTTATTTTCCCGTTTGAAATAACTTCTTTTTTCTACATAGGACAAAAAGGACACGGAAGACAATACAGGAGATTCCTGACAGTGTTTTAACATGTCGTCGGGGGAGGGGGGGGGGAGTGTGGGGGCAAGAGGTAGACAAGGATACAAAGGAGAGGAAATCAAGAGATGGATGAACAGCAATCTGAGAAAATGTTCAACCAAGAGAAAAGTTGTGTTGGAGATCCGCTGCAACCAGCCCTCACTGTAGAGTCGGCATTTGATTGAAAAGCGTACTACGCGAGACAAACAGTGATACTGTCTTGTCAGTGCTCCACAATTTTACACATATTTCAGAGAGATGTGATCACCCATGCCAATCAGCAAGACCCTTGCTGATGATGACGTTGATAGTAAATTAAGTCTTTCCTATTCGCTTCTTTGTTTTTTAGCTTTTATTTCTCTTGAGCCAGTATCTGTTACTAGATGCCCAGAAATTGAGGAGCTTCTTACTTGTTCTATGACTATCGACCGTGGTGCCAACTGTTTCACTGTTCTTTCCTTGCGTCTGCCTAAATCAGAATTCTCAAAACTGTCAGTGGTCACATCATGTCACAGTATGTCGTCGTCCTTACTGCCATCTGGCGCATTGAAACCATATCTCTGAAGATGCAGGTTCGGCGATGTGAACGTTGAGCTGTGGTCTGTCACCCACTGCATCTTGTGACACAGATTTGATCTTTCGGCTGATTGCTGTCAAGATGGGATCTCCGTTATATCTGTCAGCAGTGCACCGCAATTCAGGAAATTTTAATTCACGTGTTTTACTGTTTCCGTAAGGCTCTAAATACGAAAAAGGGGTCAAACAATGGCTTCGTGAATATAAGTACAGCGCTTCATTGGCAGAGGTCGTTAGACGAGGTTGCAGCTTCCCTGCAGACGGATGGCTGATGCCAGCTCCATTCAAGTGCCAGTGGTAAGTAAAGTAAAGTCAAGATCCATTTTTACGCCTTCAGGCACATCTGCCTTAGGGTAAGAGCATCCATATTGTTTACAGACCAATCAGCACTTGGTGGGTAATGTGGTCAGCATTACGCCGACCGTCTTTACTTCCCTAGGACATTCTATCCTGGTATTCATTTTAGGCTGGGTCGACCTGCGACGCCCCATACAATGATAAAAATCCACTCAGCCAGCAGTGGGTTTCGATCGCGGTACGTTGGAATTACGAGTCAGACTCGCAACGCCTAAGCCACGGATGCTAGTAGCCACATAAAATGTCTGACACTGACCCCTTTGAAAACTAGTGAAAGAAAAAACAAGTCGTTCTTAGCACAATCTGGCACACGTAAGTAAATGCAAATGGAAGAGAAGATGGGAGTTAGGCAAACAGTGCAGAATACACTGAAGACTGTACTCCAGTTGAGCCTAATTCCTGCTAACATTACTATTTTCATGCGTGCTACGTGCCTTAACAGACTTTCATATATCTTGAGAAAAGAGACGATCATAGAAATATCTATTTAAACAGTGACAGTAGATAGGCGGGTCCCAAACTGTTAGGTCGCAAGACTCTTCCTTGTTCTTTCCAATCACCGAGAAACCAGTGAATATTGTTTGTTTAGGTTATAGTTCAATGTTACAATGAAGGGAGTAGACTGCAAGAACTTTTGAATAGGCTAAGTTCAACATACAGAAGATATAACATCAAAATAAATGCAACTAAAACTGACGTAATGCAAGTCCGTAAAATTACTAGCCTGCACAAAAAGGACTTAATGTTACTTGTTGTCTAGTCATACCCTTGTGGGATGCAATTTTTCGTTATTTTAAAGCCTTACCCTGGCTCTTGCCAGGGGCCGCAATATAGCCTGGTCATAAATATGGCCTAATGGCTGAAAACGGTTTTCTGGGACCTCTCCACGTGTGATCCATATCCATGTGGTGGCACATTGTGTCATCGGGAGTTAATCTCTTGTGTTATGTCCTTGTGGGATAAAATGTACTACTACTACTTGTCTGAAGCAAGCTGAAAAATTAAAGGACGGAAGAATATATCGGGAAATAGAAACAAGTTGCCAACCAGCTAAAACACTTATCTACCAACTGGCACCGTTATAAAAACATCCAGACATAAGTATGGGCGCCAAGAAAAGAATTTGCAACATCATACTCCTACCAACACTGTGCTATCAATGTTAGATGTGGACATTAGCAAAGAAATAACCAACGTAAAATTAACATCCTGTGAAATGAGACGATGAGAAAAGCCGCTAACTTGACTATCCGTGACAAAGGGAACAGATTTTATCAGACAAGCTGTGTGAATATCATCATGCAGCAAATTCATCAAGAAACATAAGATCAAATGGTTTGGTCCAGTGAGAATGCAACCAGAACACCTACTAACGCAGGCGCTACACATGAAAAGATCTAATGTAAAAGCAAGAGACCACCCTAGGAGACAATGGATGGATGACATTAAAGAGCTTATTCATCGATACGAAATGACAATTGCTAGTGCAACCTATGAAGCAAATGGATCACAAACAGTTCCTCCCCACGCCGCTTAACAACAGAAGTGGAAATCGATGATGATGATGATGATTAGATCAATGTTGATATGACATGTTGCAGTGAACAAACATACAAAGACTCCATCAGGATGTCTAGGGTGTCTCGGGGGTAGGCGGACAACGTTTTGAGCAGCACTGTTTAGCTGATAAAGATGGTTAGCTTGCGCTGGTTGTCACACCCCTTCGCTCCATGGGATAGGCGTTATTTGTCAAATAATGGGCCGCCTTGTTAGCCTGACTGGTTCCCTTATTAAACACCGGTTCCAGGAGTCAGAAGAATGGCGTCGTTTGGAATACGCATGTGCATGTAGTGTTTACCTCGACACATTTCTCGTTTGTTCATTAATGCATGTTTTCTATTACTGCCTTATGTTCTTGTACACGGACGTTAATTAGTACCAGTGGTGTATTTCTTCGAACAGCTCAGTTTATTTAGTTAGGATTATCATCGCAGCACTCCAGACACACTCAGTGGTGCTCCAGACACACTCAGTGGTGCTCTAGACACACTCACTGGAGCTCCAGACACACTCAGTGGTGCTCTAGATACACTCACTAGTGCTCTAGACACACACTAAATAGTGCTCTAGACACACACTCACTTGTTCTCCAAACACACTCGGTGGTGTTCCAGACACACTCAGTGCTGCTCCAGACACACTCGGTGGTGCTCCAGACACACTCAGTGGTGCTCCAGACATACTCGGTGGTGCTCCAGTCATACTCGGTGGTGCTCCAGACATACTCGGTGCTGCTCCAGACACACTCAGTGGTGCCCCAGACAAACTCGGTAGTGCTCCAGACATACTCGGTGGTGCTCCAGACACGCTCAGTGGTGCTCCAGACACACTCAGTGGTGCTCCAGACACACTCAGGGGTGCTCCAGATACACTCGGTAGTGCTCCAGACACACTCACTGGTGCTCCAGACACACTCGGTGGTGCTCCAGACACTCACTGGTGCTCCAGACACACTCGGTGCTGCTCTAGACACACTCAGTGGTTCTAGTGTCTTTGTTGTTATAGATCAATCCCACGGAAAGCGGTGGTGCTTCTGCAGTACTTGATGTTTAGCCGATTATGGGCATGTCAACCTGGGCACACAGTCTGGACCAGACACTCGCGACTTTGACTCAATACTCTGACAGTCGGGACTTTGACTCAATACTCTGACAGTCGGGACTTTGACTCAATACTCTGACAGTCGGGACTTTGACTCAATACTCTGACAGTCGGGACTTTGACTCAATACTCTGACAGTCGGGACTTTGACTCAATACTCTGTCGGGACTTTGACTCAATACTCTGACAGTCGGAACTTTGACTCAATACTCTGACAGTCGGGCCTTTGGCTCAATATTCTGTCGGGACTTTGACTCAATACTCTGACAGTCGGGACTTTGACTCACTACTCTGACAGTCGGAACTTTGACTCAATAATTTGACAGTCGGAACTTTGACTCAATACTCTGACAGTCGGAACTTTGACTCAATACTCTGACAGTCGGAACTTTGACTCAATACTCTGACAGACTGATGTTGGCCTATCATTGATGTTGGGCGTTCAGCTTGTATCGCTGGCTACATCTTGCTCGCCTGTTTTCAGTTATTCTTCCTATAGGTGTCTTCTGGGTACCATACATTTTAATCTGGCGTCAGAAGGAGTGGACAGTCTATTTGGTTAGGAACACAAAGCCAAAGATTCCTTTTTCACGCATTAGACGCATCGGGCATATGGGAAGAGCACCCAAATATTACAGACCTTCATCACTGGGTGGGTCATATGGTCAGCATTACCCCAGCCGTCTTTACTTCCCCAGGAGATCTTGGTACCCATTTTAGGCTGGGTCAACCTGCGACGCCCCACACAATAATAAAAATCCACGCAGCCAGCAGTGAGTTTCGATCGCGGTATGTTGGAATTACGAGTCGGACTCGGAACGCCTAAGCCACGGACGCTGTCTGGCATAAAAATACCAGACCATAAATGTAAATGGAGATAACAACCAGCAGAAGTTTAACGTGGTCGACTATTTACAATATTTTTTTTTTTTAAAGAATGGATATGGGCATCTGATGTCAGCAGTATTTCGCTTGTCTCTTTTATTTTTCTCAACCAGTTACTTTATTTATTGACCATTTAGAGTATGTGATATATTGGCCTATTTTCTTGCTCCATTGGTTCTTGTAGTTCTCGCGCACTGTCTGACAGTAGCATTCTCTTCAACCTTTTTCAAACTGTCTATGATTCTTCGCTTGATATCCAGTCTAGGCAGTCGTCCAAGCCTGTGTATGCTAACTTTCAGTGTACTGATGAAATTTCACATTTGAGTTGAGTTGAGTTAAGTCGAGAATTGACATCACAGCACTCGGAGCATTCCCTTGCGTGCTCCGTCTTCATCTTCAGCAGCCAGCGCAGAGTTCCAATACTGATGGTACCGGTCATAATCTGGTTATGTGTCGGTCTTGCATTTCCTCAGAGTGTAGTGAGCCGGCCAGACTCTCTGGTTACACCCAGGGGACTCATTCTCTCCAGGACATAATAATCTTGTTTCTCTACTGATTTCCTTGCTTGTTCCCAAAGGGACTTGACCATTTGCGAAATATCACCTTTTTTGCAAGTGCACTTTTGTAAGCATATCTCATGTGGCGCTTGAGATCGTTACTGTGAATCTTTTTGCTATAGTTCCATCTAGAACTGAAAATGCTACTGCATGTCCTCAACAGGGTACAGGTCCTGAAGAGCTGAAGACCTCTGTCTCCTATAGGATTTATAACCAACCAGCCATACACATAACGAGATGGAATTATTTAATAACGAAAGTTGTCTGCTGTTTTGTTTCAGGGCGCTTCAACACAGGGAGCGGAGACGTGTCATAGTCATTCTCTTCACGGCCAGTATGCTGTGTTTCATCTACTTGGCAACCATCAACGTCATTATTTCAGACTCTGAAATTAACTTACATCTGAACGGTAAGGATGAACTACATTTGAAGTCCGTATGGACGTACAAACAGGACGACGTTAATCATGTCAAGGATGCCGATAGTAGAATGGCTCAGCCTGTATTCAACTCCCAAACTACAAACCCTACCCAGTTTTTGTTGGATCAACAACCCGACGATGTGTCTGAAGAAGGAGAGTCCTCCAGTCGTCATGTTTGGAAAAAAGATCAGACACGTCCAAATTCCAAGGCTATCTATAACTCCACAGCCTTCACCCGGAAGCTGATTACGACCATGACCTTTAACAACACGCTTGTTGTAGATTGCAAGGAATCGCCTTATATAGAATGTGTTCCCCCAAATCTGAAACCCACCCCTGGAAAAGTGTTCAAGATTACTTACGACCCAGGTGGCTCCCTAAATCTGAACTGGATCTCACAAGCTGTAAGATCAATCAATGCCAGGTTCGCGAGAAGACGGTGACCAATGAAACCGACCTAGTGGTTATCTATGGAGTGGGACTGAAAGACCGCTTGCCGGTTCGACAAAGATGGCCACACCAACTCTACGCCTTACAAGTCTGGGAGCCGCCCTTCCACACACGGTCGGATTATATTTCAAGTAGGTCTGTCTGTCTGTCTGTCTGTCTGTCTGTCTGTCTGTCTGTTTGTCTGTCTGTCTGTCTGTCTGTCTGTCTGTCTGTCTGTCTGTCTGTCTGTCTGTCTGTCTGTCTGTCTGTCTGTCTGTCCAGTCAGCCACTACCCATTTACCCACCCACCCATCAGTCCAACTATCCAGCCATGTGTCCACATTCTGACTACCCAAAGATGAGTGATCCGCGCCGGGAGATGGTTGTTTCTGTGCAACCTCTCTGTGTGACTCCAGTCATTCCAGAATGTGCTTTTGGATTTAATGTATGGCGCACATACAAGGGATAGGTCTAAGCGACATAATTGCCTTCAATTACTACAACTTTCTAAGCGACTACTTTTCCAAAAGACCATGCTTGTTTGAACAATATATTAACTATCATTTCCCAAGCTTATTTAGTAAACAAACGTTTTATCGCAACACAAAACGTTTCAATAAGACCAAGCTTGTTTTGCCAATAATTTGCCTGACTTTTGCAGGTTTGCAACTTACTTTTTGTCGCAGATTAAAGATACAATACTTAAAAAAAAAAAAAAAAGCTTGTTTATAAAGACATACCTAAAAACAGAACACTGTAATTTCAAAATACAATACAAGGTAACTTTAAGAATATCAAACATCCTCAAGTGGAAGATATACTAACTATACTGAGGCGTAGTGAACTCCACAGCTCCAATGTGGAATACTCCTCAAATCCAACTAGAGATTCAGCCTACCTGGGTACAGACAGTCATTAGGAGACTGAATATTGTCTCGGGTTTACGTGTCCTGGTAACCTGTATCACAGTTTAGACAGCGCTGCTCAATGTTTCTGTAAAGTTTGTTTCCTCTTAGGCTCAATACCCACCATAGAAACAAATGTCCCATGTGTATTAATGAGACACACCAGACAATCAACTTATTCTCAACCCTGCAATCTACCATAGATGTAGTAAGGGGCCACTTTAGAAGACTGTCGTTAGTTGATTTCGTAGAGAATGTTAGCTGGTTTATCCGACAGTTCATGAACTAGTCTACACAGATCTGTGTTTGTGTTGACCGGGAGCCTGAGCCACAGTGTGAGCTAACAGACTGAAGGTGGAGATGAAGAAGACAACAATTATTATTAGTCTTAATTCTTTTTCGTCTTATGGTTCACCAGCTGAAAATTGGTGCACATTTCTGGTTGCTCGTCCACTTCTGGACTTAAGATTGTTAAGGAACAGGAATTTTGGCTTAATTGTGTGCAGACTGTTGGTCTATCGCCTCTCAGGCAGATGCGCTCCGACTTCTGAGAAAAGTATTAATTAAAGGTGATATACGGGGCTCAGCCGCCGTGAGGCCGCTAATTATGTTTGAAGACTTCCACATTTGTTTATGCAAACAGCGCTTGATTCATTTATTGAGCTTACTGTGTGCTAGCACCTTAGGAAGGATATTTTGCAACCGTCATCATCAATATCATTGGACTTTTATTTATGTTTTAGGTGGGGGTTCAGTGGGGTCGCAGTGTGCCTGAGACTGAGCACGTAGTTTGCAGCGCCCCTGGACCTCAATGGTGACTCTTGCGAGCCTGTGAGATGGTGTGACGTGATAGCCCACAATTATTTTCAAAACATATCATGGATGTTCTACCCAGGAAAAGTTGTGCGAGGTAACTAACAGGCTGATATATTAGCTGTTGTTGCCCCTCTGGACGGTGAGCTACTTTATGATACAATGGATGTGGTGAAGACTCTCTAAGATCAGATGGGCAGTGTAATACAACAAACAGAGAATCCCTACACCTGAAGACTAAATCAACCGGTTGGGAGGGTTGGGGGGGGGGAGGGGTAGGGGGGAGTGTGCGTGATGCCAAGTCTTGATTCATTCATCCATTGACATGATGATAACATTTGTTAGTACTTAAATATACATCATTTCAAATCTGTGAGGTTGCTTAACGATGTACGTTTATGTAGCTTCTAACTGTCTGCAGATCCTAGCTCCCCTTGGAATGATCAGATTAATATCATCATGTCATACAGAGTTGACGCAGACGCCTTTTTTCCCTACCAGAAGCTGAGATTCAACCCGAAACCTCTAGCCGAGAGACCCAACTACTGTAAGTACTTCTTACTGTTTGCGTGCAGTCTTCCGCTCGCTTGGAACCAGCTGCACACAAATGTTGGGATTGTAACTGACTCACACAGCATGATGAGAAAGGTTGCTCTGTGCAGAGTGGCATGCATAGCTTTAGAGATCCCGAATAGTTAACGTCCTTTGAATATTTTCTCCAGGCCTGCAGGTATGTAGTAAAACAATACGCGGATAGACTGGCTGGTTGTGCACCACTTGGTTGTGCACTGATATATGACAGGCTAGTTGTTGTAGGGTCTTTTGGGAGGGAGTGAGCATCGCAAGAGCATAATTACATCACTAGTCTGAAGAGAACGGTGCAGCGAGGGGTGACCCGAGTATCTTGCCTACAGTCAGTTCATAATAATATCGAGACGGTTATTCAATTGGACACTTACTGGTACCATCGGAATTAAAATTCTACACTTGCTACTGAAAATGGGACAGGGCGCTAATGGGAATATCCTTAATATATATATATATATAAATATACACACACAACATACACACATAGGTATTACAGAGGCGTCTCCCCTTTGAGGTTACACGGGGAAAATATTCTGCAAAATTCTACACATCTAGCCCCAGCTAAGTGAAGCGCAACTAGAGTTCAGTTGAGATGATTCAAGAACCGAAATTACAGCACTCTGGGCATTCCTATAAGCGTTCCGTCCTCACCTTCAGCAGGTAGTGAAGAGTTAAGATACTAATGGTGCCAGTAGCATTCTGATTAAACGTCCGTCTTGCCTTTCCTCTGAGCCTCGAGTGTCTGCAAAAACCCTTTGTCACTCCCCCCTGCATCAATCTCACCAGACTGTGGTGATCTATTTGCTCATCCGAACTGTACACGCTCTCCCACAAGGCCCTAATCTAACCACGTCGGCCTTATCATGTATCAGTATTCCACCATGTTGTGCAGAGCCAGCCAGTCTGTCTCTCTATTCATTTCCCAACACACCGACTTGTCCCGGAGAAAAAATCCAGACAATAACCATCAACCGTGTCCTCTGCACGAAGCATGCCTGTTCTGATCTTCGCCAGCATGCTTTCTGAGTCAGTTACAATCACGATGTGTGTGTGTGTGTCGTGTTCTCTAGCCAGCGAAAAACTGCAGTGACCGCCTCTACCTCCATTCTTAAGCTGGATGTTGTGGTATCATATGCTAGGCTCTTCTACATCAAACGTCGACCAAAAACTTTTGCTGAGAGATCTCAAGCACTTCTTTTGCCTCTTGACACTGAACCGTCTGTAAATAATCAAAACCTCTGAGCGAGCATTATCTAGCGCAACTAGGATTTAGGAAAATCATGGGATGTACAGATGTCATCTTTGGTCTCTGACAACTTACAGTAAAACTCAATTGAATTTAACGAAACGCTTTTCTTTAGCCTACTTTGACCTAGAAAAAGTATTGGACAGATTAAATAGGAACAAATTATGGCGAATCTTACAAAGTTATGCATTTAATAAACGTATGTAAAAGCTTGCATAACAACAGTGAATGTACTTTTAAAACAAATGGAAGACACTCAGAATTATTCAGAACAAAATCTGAACAAGGACTACAATAATTCAACGAGAAAAAGATCCAAAGCCAAACAATCTTATCCTAGAACGACTATTAACGGACGACCAAGCATTAATTGCTACTTCAGAAACAGAACTGCAAGACCATATAAATGATGTAAACCAAATGTGCAAAGAGCATAACCTGAAAATTAACACCAACAACACAGAGATCACGACCATAGCCAAGTACACAGAACAATAACTATTCAGCTTACATAAACCCATCTGGAAAGGGGGTTGGGGTGGGGGAGGAGGGTGGGGGGGGGGGGGGGGGAGGGGGGGGGGGGGGGGGGGGACCAAAAACTTCAAATACTTATGAAGCATAACAACATCAGCTGGCAAAATAGAAGATGAGATCGGTCACAGAGCAAATCAACTAATTGGGCAAATGGCACCAAACTAAGAAACACATATGTGTCATTAGAAACCAGAAGAGCACTCTATGATACAATCTTCTTGCCAACCCTATGCTACCAGTGCCAGTCATGGACAATAAGAGAAAAAAAAGAGAAAGGAAAAATAACAACTGAAACGAGATTCCTACGAAGGGATTTTAATATAACAATAAGAGATAAGATCAGGAATGATGAAATCTGAAGGAGAAATTGAGGTAGCGGCAGCTCTGTATTTCATTAGATGACAACAGATGAAATGGTTTGGCCATGTAGCGTGGATGTCAGCGGACAGTATACCCTAGCAAGCAATGATGTACAGACCAGGCAGAAAGCGAAGCAGAGGCCGACTATGAAAACGATGGACAGTTGGAATAACATACTCCCTGGAAATCCCCATGTACGAAGCGCTCAAATAGGAACTTTCCAGTCAATTATACGTCTACCTTGACACCACAAGGTACCAGGGGATCAAGGTGATATATATATATGGTCCTGGCTAGTCACTGTTCATCCATCCCTTGATGTTATTGCCCCACTTAAATAGATATATCTGCAGTTTACGCCCTTGCCTTCAACTCCAGATTTGATTTTATAATACTAAAGTTAAAGTCGGGTTATGTGAACCAGCATCATTGCACACGGTTATAAACCATAAGTGGTCTGCCACCAGTACGGACAGCTGATAAGAAACTGCCCGCCTGTGTCGTCGTCTGCACGCAACTCCGTAGCTACAGCGACGTTCCTCCAATAACCCCAGACTGTTAACTCTGG